AAAAGACAACCCTCAGAATGGGAAAAAATATTTGCAAAGGAAGCAACTGACAAAGGATTAATCTCCAAAATTTAAAAGCAGCTCATGCAGCTCAATAACAAAAAAACAAACAACCCAAGCCAAAAATGAGCAGAAGACCTAAACAGACATTTCTCCAAAGAAGATATACAGACTGCCAACAAACACATGAAAGAATGCTCAACATCATTAATCATTAGAGAAATGCAAATCAAAACTACAATGAGAGCTTCCCTGGTGGCACAGGGGTTGAGAGTCCGCCTGCCAATGCAGGGGACGTGGGTTCGCGCCGTGAGCTGTGGCCACTGGGCCTGCACGTCCGGAGCCTGCGCTCCGGAGCGGGAGAGGCCGCAACAGTGAGAGGCCCACGTACCGCAAAAAAAAAAAAAAATTACAATGAGATATCATCTCACACCAGTCAGAATGGCCATCATTAAAAAATCTAGAAACAATAAATGCTGGAGAGGGTGTGGGAAAAAGGGAACACTCTTGCACTGCTGGTGGGAATGTGAATTGGTTCAGCCACTATGGAGAACAGTATGAAGGTTCCTTAAAAATCTACATATAGAACTACCATATAACCCAGCAATCCCACTACTGGGCATATACCCTGAGAAAACCATAATTCAGAAAGAGTCATGTACCACAATGTTCATTGAAGCTCTATTTACAACAGCCAGGAGATGGAAACAACCTAAGTGTCCTTCATCGGATGAATGGATAAAGAAGATGTAGCACATATATACAATGGAATATTACTCAGCCATAAAAAGAAACGAAATTGAGCTATTTGTAATGAGGTGGATAGACCTAGAGTCTGTCATACAGAGTGAAGTAAGTCAGAAAGAGAAAGACAAATACTGTATGCTAACACATATATATGGAATTTAAGAAAAAAAATGTTATGAAGAACCTAGGGGTAAGACAGGAATAAAAACATAAAGCAGAAACTAACACACCATTGTGAAGCAATTATACTCCAATAAAGATGTAAAAAAAAAAGAATCCGCCTGCCAATGCAGAGGACATGGGTTCAAGCCCTGGTCCGGGAAGATCCCACATGCCGTGGAGCAACTAAGCCCACGTGCCACAACTACTGAGCCTGCGTTCTAGAGCCCACGAGCCACAACTACTGAGCCCACACACCAGAACTACAGAAGCCCACACACCTAGAGCCCGTGCTCCGCAATGAGAGAAGCCACCGCAATGAGAGAAGCCACCGCAATGAGAAGCCCGTGCAACACAATGAAGAGTAGCCCCCACTCACCACAACCAGAGAAAGCCTGCGCGCAGCAACGAAGACCCAACACAGCCAAAAATAAATAAATTAATTTAAAAATATATGTGTGTGTATATATATACACACATACACACACATACTATTTCCTTGAATTCAGCTGCTCTGTATACCATACTGGATTCTAACTATCCGTAAATCCACCCCAAGTTCAACAGTGGATTAATTTCATGTCAAATACTACCTAACCCTCTGTGTGTAATGATAATTTTCCCCTAGGTCCACATTCCTGTTGTCTTAGTGATGCCACCATTTCAACAATACCTCATAAAGTTTCAAATACTAATGAGAACTGGACTGAGAGAAGCTCCAGCCGAAGCCCCAGCTGACGGACTAATCCTCAACGGGGTGAAGAAATTGTGAAGCAGGTTAAAAGCAGGATGGAGCTCTGTGGAGAATGGAGAATGTTTTCTTTAAAGACTGACTCATTACCATTTATATAAACAGAGCTTAAGCTTAAGTACCAACATTTAGACAAGATAAGAATCGGTGATTTGGTGGAGGCAGAATCAGAATCCAAATGGACAAAATGGCCAGGTTGAAGGCTAAAGGCAGGCACAAATATTGGAGGGGGAGTCATCAGGGATGGAAGATAAATTAGTTTGAGGCTGGAAGGATGAGAGTTAAAGACAGTAGGAGGCTCTTCCCTTCATAAATAATTCAGTCCTAAAGCCACTGTCGGGGGAGGTGTTAAGAGGCGAAATAAACCAAAATAGGCATCTATAGGTGAGGAGCCTGAAAAGGGCTATCAGAGCCCAGGGTGAGGAGGACAACTGTGTGTGCTGGGGCGGGGTTGGGGGAAATGTCAGTGGTTTTCCAGGGTGAAGAGCATCTACACAGAAGTGGGCTGTGGCCTGGCATACGGAGTCAGGGCATCCACACAGCAGGGCAGCCCAGTATACTATGTCAGAGCCAATCAGGGTGAGGAGAGTGGGGACTGACCAGGGATGAGAAGCCAGAACCTGATAGAGGTAAAGAGGACAATGACACAGGGCGCCAGCCTGGAATAAGGAATCAAAATTCAAGCAAGGTGAGGAGATTACCCACGGGTGGAAAGGACCCAGTATGGGGCATGAAAGCCAAAGCAGGATGAGGAGGGCAGCGAGAATGAAGAAATGCCTGGTGTGGGAATTCAAAGCACTCATAGGGTGAGAAGGATTCTTCACAGAAGGGTAGTCCAAGGTGGGGAGATGGAGCCCAAGTGGGACGAGCAGGGTGTCCATATGTAGGGCAGGGTGGGGGACAGAATGCAGGGAGAAGAGGGCATCCATGCACGGAAAAGGGAGGTAACTAATATGAGAAATTGGTTCTACATAAGAGGATTGGTCAAAAAAATAAATATATTAAGGATAATGGAAGCCAGGTTTCTCGCTGTTAGAGAAACTAGAATAAGTCCTGTGCTATACTGGAATATAAAGTATCAGTTTGAACTCACAGCTTTCAATACATATAATAGAGAAATAAATATAGATGCAGATATGTACATCTATATACATAAATGCATATATATATTATGAACCTCTGTTCACTGAGAAGGCCTGAGAGCAGTTAATAGCTCGATAGCAGTGAGCCCACCAAGCATCCAGATCCCGCTTTCTCAATACTGTTCTCTACTAAAAGTAACAAAAGATCCTTAAAAAAATGACTGATTCCAGGGGTAGAATAGGGAAAATATAAGGTGAGCCTGAAACATCTTGTTGAGCCACTAAGAAGAGAAGTGCTGAAAGAATAACGGGACAAGTCAAAAGGACACAGAAACCTGCTTGAAGGGGCTCTCACTGGCCACATCTGAAACAATTTGAGCATCAAATAATAGTAGTGTTGGATTATAACCCAGTGAATAAAAGAAACTATGAATCTCCACAGCAGAAAATTAATGAATGAACTAAAAATTAGATGAGAAAACAGATGTATTTAAATAGCTTTAAAGCAAATCCTCACAAAATACTTTATTAATTACGATGAGAAAAAGGGTAACTTTATGGTGAAGAAGTCTGGCTGGTACCACTCTAATTAAATGAACAAAGAGAACATCACCAGTAATAGGACAAACAAAGATCATAAACCACTAAAGAGGGTGCAATGAAAAGACTGCAACATCACTTCTGTAATATTCCTGCAAAAGAAGCATAATCTGAACCTACTCATAAGAAAACCCAAGTTGAGGGGTGTTCTACAAAAATAACTGAGCTGTATTCTTCACAACGTTATTGCCCTGAAAGGCAAAGAATGAGAAATCATTCCAGGAGACTAGAGACACGATAACTAAATGCAACATGTGACTCTAAATAAGATCCTTTTGCTATAAAGGGCAATCAGTGGACAATTTGTAAAACATGAATGAGTTCTAAGATTTACATAGTAATAATATAATAAAGTTAATTTCCTAATTTTTATGGTTGTCTCTGTTTATATAAGAGAGAGAATGTCCTGGCTTATAGGAAATGGATACTAAAGTATTTGGGAGTTATGGGCATCAAGTTAACATGTTAACTCTCAAATAGTTCAAGAGAAAGTTCTTTGTACTCCACTTCCAACTTTTCAATAAGTTTATGATTGTGTAAAAGAAAAATTTTTTAAGGAAAAGAAATAAATAAAAGCCCCTCCTCTCCGCGCCCCGGCCTAAGACACCAGGAGTTGCATCTGCCCAGTGGTCAGAAATCAGATAAGGAGTGCTCTTCCTTCCACATCTGGCAAATTTTGACCCCACTTCATAAGAGGAATAAAACGGGCTTCTGATAGGAAACTTGGCTGACTAATTAACAGCAAGCCCTTATTTAATTCTTCTCAGTTCATTATCAACAACAATCATCCTTACTCAGCCATAAAAGGAGACGAAACTGAGTTACTGTGGATGGACCTAGAGTCTGTCATATAGAGTGAAGTAAGTCAGAAAGAGGAAAACAAATACCGTATGCTAACACATATAAATGGAATCTAAAATTAAAAAATGGTTCTGAAGAACCTAGGGGTATAGGACAGGAATAAAGACGCAGACATAGAGAATGGACTTGAGGACACAGGGAGGGGGAAGGGTAAGCTGGGACGAAGTGAGAGAGTGGCATGGACATATATACACTACCAAATGTAAAACAGGTAGCTAGTGGGAAGCAGCTGTATAGCACAGGGAGATCAGCTCGGTGCTTTGTGACCACCTACAGGGGTGGGATAGGGAGGGTGGGAGGGAGATGCAAGAGGGAGGGGATACAGGGATATATGTATATGTATAGCCGATTTACTTTGTTATACAGCAGAAACACACCATTGTAAAGCAATTATACTCCAATAAAGATGTTAAAAAAAAAAATCATCTTTATTCATGCCCAGAGGAGAACACTGACCAATTAATAAAGTTGTGATACCCTTTCCATCAATCTCCCCTATTCTGTTCACATTTGCACTGTCACTTTTATCTCTCTGAATGAAGTCCTGAGAAATATACATTTAATAACATTAAAAAAATTATGCCCTTCTCTAGGAAATAAGCAAATACAGTTAATGCACTGTAGAACCTCCTAAGTGTCAAACAACTGGTCTCTTACTTCTCCTTTTTTAAAGCCTAGTGATTTTATGTTTATTCCAACACCTTTCCCTTATCCCATGAAAAGATATTCATTATTTTCAATGTTAAATGAGATCTAACACTTTTCTTAAATGCTTTTACATATATCAAAAACATACATACCTCATCTACGAAGTTAATAGCATCAAACCAGTCTTGAAGAGCTTCAAGGCAGTATCTCACAACATTTCGGGTATATTCTTGAGTTTCCTAAAATAATAACTTATATAAATTTACAGTATGTAAACATGTATATGTTCAACTTCAAAGTATATGCAATATATGCATAGTTATGTGCATAACTATAAAGTTATGTACATTGTATATATAATGGTAAAATATACATATTTTCAAAATAACCACATTTGTCATTTCAAGGAATCATCCTTTCACAGACTAATAGTAACAACTAGAGACAGTTATGAAAATGAACTAACCTGAAATGAGTCAAAGGTGAAATAAATTTATGTGATGTAAATTGGGTTCCACATGGCCGCTGAGCCTGCGCATCCGGAGCCTGTGCTCCGCAACAGGAGAGGCCACGGTGGTGAGAGGCCCGCGTACCGCAAAAAAAAAAAAACAACTACAAGCCTCACATCCATATCTAAAAATAGCATCTCTAGGGACTTCCCTGGCGGTCCAGCGGTTAAGACTCTGTGCTTTCACTGCCAAGCACAGAGTGTGGATTTGATCCCTAGTGGGGAAACTAAGATCCTGCAAGCCAAGGGATGTGGCCCAAAATTAATTAATTAATTAATATAGCATCTCTTATAAAGTAGATATTATCATCCCTTTCTTTCAGAGATTTACTTCTCCTTCACCCAGCTCAGTCTCCATATCCTGTTAATTCGTCCTCAATATTGTCATGTAGATTCACTTCCATTTCCTCCTATTTCTGATATCATTCAGATAAAATATCACTTAACTAGTTTCCCTGCCAACAGTCTCACCCTGTTTTAATCTATCCTATATGAGGTTTATCCTCTCAAAATATTATTTTATACATTCTGTTCCCTATCTCTTACTGAAAAAAATGTAATGACACTTTAAGTTACCATAAATAATGTGTCATAACCAAACTAAAGTTGCAGATAATTTATGTATAAAGAAACATTTAAGGGCTTCCCTGGTGGCGCAGTGCTTGCGAGTCCGCCTGCCGATGCAGGAGACGCGGGTTCGTGCCCCGTTTCGGGAGGATCCCACGTGCCGCGGAGCGGCTGGGCCCGTGAGCCATGGCCGCTGAGCCTGCGCGTCTGGAGCCTGTGCTCCGCAAATGGGAGAGGCCACAACAGTGAAAGGCCCGCATAACGCAAGAAAAAAAAAAAAAGAAACATTTAAAACCAAATGTTTTCCTATTTAATCAAAGGTTTGAGTAAAGGGACACCACTATATCCTCTTTACACAAGTGTAAACTGATAAACTCTTCTGGAGAACAATTTGAAAAGTAGGTATATCAAGTCTTCAAAAAGGTGACCAATTAATTCCATTCCTAAATACAGCATACTTAATAATCATGTTCAGATCATCTCTCCCACCTCCCCATCACTATCATACCCACCCCCAAAAATTCAGTATGCATGACTTACTAGTTTTATGACCTTGAGGAAATTACTTGAATTTTATGAGTTTCAGTCTCTCCATACGTAAAAATGGGCATAATACTACCTACCTCCTAGTACTGTTATGAAGCAGCAAATGAAATAATGTACATAAAATGCTCTATGTCACAGTCTAGCACTATATTTGACAAGTACTACTTAAGTGCTCCAAAGATTCATGGCCAGACTTCTGTCAAGCCTGCAGTAACGTATAGTTACCACTAGATGGAGATTTTACAGCTTATTTGTTCTGTTCAGCAAGCAAAAATTAGTAAAATTCTAGAAATGTGCCATCCCTTTATCCAAGCTATCTGTTATTAATCTAGTATAACTTGTTTAACTATCCCTTAGCATTTTCAAGAACCAAACAGCATACGGGGCAATCAGACAAAGAAAGTAAGCTATCAGGTGAAGTTCCTTTTTTCTATTGCTAATCCTTTAGTTTTATATTTTATAATTAGAGAACATAAACATAAAGCAATAGCTTTGTTTTTTTTAAAATAATAGTCTTTCTTCTAGCTTACATTTCTAAAACCTGACAACACTGCTGCTAAAAAGCTCTAGACAGTCTTGCTTAAGAGACAATTATAGCAAAGTGATAAAGAGCACTGGTTCTGAAATCAGATGGATTTGTTTTCAAACTCAAGCTTCCACTTGCAGCTGTGTAAATGTGGGCAAATTATTTAACCTCTGAAAGAAAGGGATGATACTATCTACTTTATAAGAGATGTTATGAAGATTAGATACAAACATAATGTAAGCAATATAATGTAAAGAACAATGTCTGGCATAGTGTAGGCTCTCATCAAGAGAATGTCTTATCTAGGAACTAGATGCTCCTTTAGCTAAGAAACTACTCTCAGATACTACCAGAACAATATGAGCTCGTTCTCTCTCTGTTGACTTCACTTCTTAGATTAAGAAAACCATAACACACTGCAATCCTGGCCTTCAAAACTGAAAAATAAACTACTGCCAGAAAACAATGATTTCTCATTATCACATAAACATAGCCCTGGACTTACAATCCAAAATCATCCTAAACACAGTTGTCAGAATAATCCTCCTAAAATACTGACCTTTTCATATCAACATCGTATCAATCCTCCCTCCTAAATCACCATCTGTTCTGTTGGCTCATACAATGTTGCATTCTTCTGGTTTTTCTCCTCTCCCTCTCTGATGTCTAAATGTTCGTTTTTTCTTCAAGGTCCATTTCTCTTCTCCCCTATTTGACGTGACCCCATCCCCTGGCAATAAATGCCATTTTTATTCCCAAGGGTCTAAAATTTATAACCCTAGTTCAAAACTCATATATCCAACTGACTATTCACTATTTCCACTTGGATGTTTCAGAGGCATCTCAAACTTAACATATCTAAAACTAACTCTGATCTCTCTAAACCTTTTCTATCGATCTTTTTCACCTCTGTAAAATTACCTCCATACATAGTTACCCCAAAATCTATTTCACTCATCAATAACATACAATCCATCACCAAGGCTTTTGGTTCTACCTTCAAAATACATCTTCAATATCCAAAATGCACCTTGAATTTCAAACCTGAATTTCCTAGATTATTATCACAGCATCTTAATTGGTCTATTTGCTACTAGTCATGATGCTCCCCACGCTCCCCTCAATCCAGTCTTTCCAGCAAACAGAATGATCTTTTAAATGTAAAACTGATCACATCAAACCCCTACTTTAAAATATTCACTGGCTTGTCCTTAAAATTAAATCTAAGGCTCATTAACATGTTCTATAAGAACCTGCATTAATAATACAATCCCTGCCTATCTCTCCAACTCCATCTTGTTCTGTGGCTCCAGCCACAAACTCCTTAAAATGACTAATCACTTTCCTACTGGAGGTAGGTTATTCCATACTATCTCCCCTATTCCCACCACTAACCCCACTTTTATACTTCATATAGCTGGCTTCTTCATTCTTCAGAAAGGCCTTCCCTGATCCTTAAACGTAACCAGCCTCCACACTCATTACTCTCATAGCAATCTGATATTTTCCTGTAGAACACTTACAAAACTTACAAAATAAACCTGTGTGCTTACTTACTTAATGTCTATCTCTCCTATTAGACTGCTCCATGAGAGCAAAAACCACATCTATTTGATTTGACACCAAAAACCCGAGCATCTAGATAGCATCTGGCATAGAACAGCATTCAATAGATACTTTTTTGAATAAATGAACAAACGACTCTCATATTAGATGACAGTTTTTTTGATAAATGTTACAATGGAGATTAAATGAGGTACTATAAAAACAGAGACTGGAATCATAAATATGAAAGAATTTAAATGAGCAGATTACATATCAGCTGAGTCTTATGAGTACAATTTTTGAAGAGCTCAACTAATTGTTCTTCATTCCAGTTAGAATCCCTGCCAAAGTCCTACTGCACATCAAACAAACCAAAATCTCTGACAGTGAGACTCAGGCACATGTATTCTGCAAGCTTCCCAGATGATTCTCATATAAGAGAAGCACTGGACTAAGCAGAAAGAATGAGCTCATTTGTCAAAAAACAGGGACTAACTTGAACAAAACCACTGGAATCAAGAAAGGAATTGCATGCTGAGGAATGGTAATCAATCCAATGAAGGCATGGACGTAGAGGGGGGTATAGGAAAGTGAATTATGATAAACAAGTTGAGGGCAAATTGTGGAAGGTCTTAAATGCCTCTATAGGAAATAAGGACATTATCCTGTAGACATAAGAACTTGAATGATTTTTAAGCAAAGGAGAGATAAGCACAGAGCTTAGCAGTAACTTCAGTACTAGGAAAAATTACAGTAGGAAGAATCTAGAGGCAGGAAAACCAGTTAAGAAACAACCCAGATTTTAAAAATATAAATAAATAAATTAAGACAGAGGAAAGAAGTGGTAGAGAGACATTTCTGGTATGAGAGAAAATTCATGGTATCTGATTATAGCTTGAACACAGCTGGTACAGCAAAGGGAAGGTTCTATATTGGATAACTGCATCATTTAAAACACCATACATAAAATGACATAAAGAACACAGCACAGACAAATATTTTTAAATACTTTAGGAACCTGAGAAAATTCATGTACCTATAAGGAGATCTACATGAATAACCAGAGCTGTTGTGAATTTCAACCTGGCCAGACTGTAACAGAGTTGTGAGGCATCTGCATTTAGAGAAAGCTGGAGTCATGAGAGAAAATAGAAATCCTCGGACACCAAGGGGGGAAAGTGGCGGGGGGTGGTGGTGGTGGGATGAACTGGGAGATTGGGATTGACATATATACACGGATATGTATAAAATAGATAACTAATAAGAACCTGCTGTATGAAAAAATAAATAAAATTCAAAAACAAAAAAAGAAAACAGAAACCCACTTAAAGGAACACATACATTTAAAGAATATATGTAAGAGAGTCTCATAATAACCCTGTGAGGAAGAGCAGGCTTTGCTGTCCCATTTCTATTTTGTTTCCTTTAGTTTTTTAAAAGAAAAGGAGAAAGACTGAGAAGTTCAAATAGTTTTAAATGAGTTGACCAAGTCACCTAAGTCAAAAGAGGCAGAGCCAAGACCACTATAAAATCTTGTGCAGCATGCTTATTGGTACAGGCTAGCAGGTTGGACTTCATGGGATCCATACAGCAAAAGCTTAGTCAAGTCCTTAGTTTAGTAGGGTCAGGAGATAACAAACTGTCCAAGGATTCTGGAGACCCATCAAACGAATACTTTAAAATGCAAAGGTAAAATATATATTTGTACAGAAAGACATAAATGCATACAATTATAAGCAAGCATTTCTTAACCAATTATAAGAATTTATGTTGTTGCTATGCACCCTTAGGTTCTTTTTACAAACAACTGTAAGTTATATGAAATGTATACTGATTTTGTGCTTGGAATCTTAAAAGTGTAAACTTTATTGAGGACTATCCTCATCCCTTGAGAGACAAGAAACATTAGGCAACTAACTGATAATGGGTAAAATGAAACAATAAAGATGAATGTGGAGACTTATAAAGCTCCAAAGACTATTCACAATAAGGGAAGGCTGGAATGATATGATAACTCATTTATATAAATGAATTCTAACCTGCCTAAGAATAACAATTAACTGTCTCAGGTCAACTTTCACAAAGGTGAATTCAGAATTAAACACTGCATATTATTACACACAAGTAAACAAATCAATGTTTTCACAAATAATTTTCTTAAATAATTATTTTAAAGGTAAACACAGAAATTAACAAAACATACCCTAACTTTACAATGTGATAAGAGTCCCCACATTGGCTGTGCACAGGCCTCAAGTTCAGCAGCAAAGGCAGCATAGTAGGTCTGAGATTCAAATTCCACATGCTCATTTAGTTCTCGCTTATTTAAGTTCATACCTTGCAAAAATTAAAACAGATATAAAACTTGCCAAATGGAAATAAACACCCATCTTAAAAATCAAGTAAAATACTTCCAAGTACCAAACACATTTTAATGCACACAAATGGCATAATGACAATATGTATAGAAATTAATAAATTATTAAAAATAAAATAATCTGGTCCTTTTGGAATTCTTTATAAACTACGTTTTCTTAGAAACATTTTGTGAACTGTCTCTTTCTTATATAATATAATTGAATATATTAAATAAAGTCAAAACTACTTTAATTGATGCCGGTTGAAATTTTTATGGAAGTATTATGAGTCTTTCTTGGAGGATAGATTAGAAATTTCTAGATTAATGTTTTCAAATGCTTTTAAAAATTACACTCCTATTTCCTATGTAATAGTTTGACCTGCTTCATAACTCTGATATGTTTTCATGAACACTTTATCAAAATACTTACAAATATCAATTGATTAAAATGAGACATTTCACATGTAACTGAACGATGTGCTATTTATTATCTTTTAATTAGTTTTTGACAGTTTAAGATTAGGCATTTTGTAAACTAAAAGAAAAAAAATTAAGAAAAAATCTGAAATTGATACCTTGAAAGAAAGATACAAAGTTCATCCATGTCACTAACAAACCATGGTCCTCCAAAAATCTCTTAGCCACACTTTGATGAGAAAGGATATTAATAAAATCACTGACAAGAGGCCAATAAGTGTTATTCTTCAGTAATGCTTCTCCACAATTCACTACCACATGTAAACTATTTTCTTCATCTAAAATAGACACACACACACAAAAAAAATTAGTTTAAAAAAATAGTTTTACCAATGATACAGATTATACATTTTAGAATCAGTCACCTAAATTCAAACCCCAGCCTGCCATTTAATAACTATATGGCTTGGGCTTCCCTGGTGGCACAGTGGTTGAGAGTCCGCCTGCCGATGCAGGGGATGCGGGTTCGTGCCCCGGTCTGGGAAGATCTCACATGCTGCAGAGCGGCTGGGCCCGTGGGCCATGGCCGCTGAGGCTGCACGTCCGGAGCCTGTGCTCCACAATGGGAGAGGCCACAACAGTGAGAGGCCCGCATACCGCAAGAAAAATAAAAAAAATTTTTTAAATTAAAAAATAAATAACTATATGGCTTTAGGTATATTACATAGCTCTGAATCAATCTCCTCATCTGTAAAACAGAAAAAGACACATATCTTAAGGGAATTAAATGAAATGTTAACATAACACTTAGCACATCGTTATAATAATTATTAGCATGTCTAACATATTACATGATATTGAGTTACTTACATGTTTATAAAACCTTATTATTTTCTTGATTTTAATGATATAATGCAATATTTTCAGTTCTAATCAATAAAATGTTTTTATCCCTAGATTAATCTCATTCTATCTTTTCAATAAAATCTGTATGACTTAAACAATATACATTTAATTGCTTTCTTCTATTCAAAGGACATGTAAAAACAATTTTTAACACAGTATTTCAGAAATGAAACAACAAAAAACACACATAAATCTCTTAAGCTTTAAAAAAAAATCCTCAAAGTTTAAATACATTGCTGAAGGAGGAGATGGGGAGGATTAGGTTTGTACAAAAACTTTACTATTAGAAGTTATAGCATGTATGCATTAGCTCTCTTGACCTATTCCAGCTTAACTGATTCACTGGACAAACAAGCCCCCCATTCCCACTGTAAAACACACTAATACCCATAATACACAGAATGCTCAAAGCTTGTAGCCTATTCCCTAGTACACAAGCCCCAAGGTATAAGCTTATCCACAGTCTGTTTTTGCTTCTGTTCATACTAATTGTTCTTTTTACTATAATTATAAAAGTTAAGTTACAAATACATAATCTGATAAAATATGAATGCATAAATAGAGGTATAACAAAAACTGGATCATAAGCTTTTGAAAGACAGTAAAAGTGCCTAAGAAAATCTTGGAGGAGAAAAATCACAAAAGTCTAGAAGGATTTTATACTCAGATTGCTTCATGAAAATCTTTATGTTCTTACTCTACTTTAAAGAAACTGAAAATGAAAATCACAGATGCTGCTTTACAGATGTGGTATATACAAGAAGGACGAGAGAGAACTCCAGTAAAGAAAACTATACCTTACAACTGCTTTGCCCAAAATTAAAAGGTTGGAGAACAAACATACATTCCTGTGGTTTAAGTTAAAATCCACTGTTTAAGATACGTATGTATCACTTTTTAACAATGCCTCACTTTAACCAACTTTTCAAATAACCACCTCTGTAGTCAAACTCATCAGTGAAGAGGACTTCTACTGCACTTCTTATTTCCATAAATTAAATTTAGGTTTCAGCCCATGAAATTACTTTACCCAACTCAAATTTAACAAGACATAAGAACAGGACCCACAACAGGATGAGAGAGGGTATAACTGAACGAGGAAGTGGGGGTAAGGGAGCTTTTATAAATTACCCACACCTGAGATTCAGAAACGCCCTCTCTGACAACTACTGCCACTGTGAGTTGGTGAGCAGCTGATACTGATGGGACAGTGCCTAGGGATGCTGGGATTTTTTAAAACATTGAGAATCACTGTTCTACTTAATTGAAATCAGAGGATGAATAAGCAGAATATAATTAATCAAAATCACTATTTTCCTAACACTGCTTTAACTACTACTGTTCTTGCAAAAAATACCTTGGAATCTTTTATGAAATAAAATGATTAGAACTTCTATTTTTATCCAACTGATACTTTTCCAAATATAGATACAAATATAGAGAGCAATGATTCAGTGTTAAATGATATTCACTCATCCACAAATATTTACTGAGCTCCTACTGAGGGTCAGGTAATCTAGTAAGCTCTGAAAATAAAGCAGTAAAAAAATCAAGATTTATACATTCTCTCTCTCCACTGAGGTTAATATCTAAGAAGACAGAGTGTGGTAAGGTCTTTAATAGGAAAAGTACAAGAAGCCATAAGAACATAAGCTGGTCTACATACAATTAAGGAAAAGAGTTTCCTGAGGAAGTGATGTTTAACTGAGATTTACAGAAGGAAGCAGAAATTGGGATTAACCAAATAAACTAGGGATGGAGAGGAAATGGTGTTCTAAATAGAGGAAGCAGTATAAAAAAGGATGGAATTACTGGGACAAAGAATGCAGAGAATAGGTGTCACAAATGAGTCTAGATGGCCTCATAAATCAGCTTCAGGAGTCTGCAGTTCATGTGAAGAGAATGGCAAGCCACAGAGGGGGTTTTAAGAGAGAGGACATGACTAGATGTTTAGTGTTGAGACTGACTATATAGGAGGGTGCTGATGACTAGTAGTAGAAGGCCTAAAGATGGCAATGGCTTGAACTATGGTGTTGGCACGAAGCTGCAGAGATGAAAAGAATTGGCTATTCAGAAGGGTTTAAATGACAGATCTGGTGATGTTCACTATTCCTACAAAGAGTAAGAAGTCAAAAATGACTCCTAGGATTTTAGGTTGGGCAACTCTGTAGATGGTTAGAGTGGTACCAACACACCGACTTGAGTGCTAATACACACATACATATATACACATACACACATATGCACAAATGCAATAGAAAAGAAGCAGGCTTGATAGAGACAGAATGGGTTTTTGGTGTTGACACTGAGTGTCTGAGGTGCTTGTAGACATCCAAAGGATATAGTTTAATAAACAATTTGATATGCAGGACAGAAGGTCAATCTGGCATTATTAGCAACTACAGACATTCCTATAGTTATGCAACACATGGTTTTGGTTTGGTTTTTTTTAAACTTTATTCCTTCTTTTTTTTTTTTTTTTAAAGTTAACCATTTTTTTAAAATTTATTTATTTTTGCTGTTTTGGGTCTTCGTCACTGCATGGGCTTTCTTTAGTTGCAGTGAGCGGGGACTACTCTTCGTTGCGGTGCACAGGCTTCTCATTGCAGTGGCTTCTCTTGTTGCAGAGCATGGGCTCTAGGTGCGCAGGCTTCAGTAGTTGTGGCACAGGGCTCGGCAGTTGTGGCTCACGGGCTCTAGAGTGCAGGCTCAGTAGTTGCAGTGCACGGGCTTAGTTGCTCCGCGGCATGTGTGATCTTCCCTGACCAGGGCTCGAATCCGTGTCCCCTGCATTGGCAGGCAGACTCTTAACCACTGCGCCACCAGGGAAGTCCCACAACACATGGTTTTAAGTTCCATTTTAAACAGACAGTTGCATAAGACAAACTGTAAAATTTCAGGGATATGGAAAGTTATGAGTTATATTTGCAATCACAAAACAGTATGGTGCAGAAATGAATACAACAAAGTAAAAGTATAAGGAAGGGAGCACGTACTACTAGAGGCTTTTTCCTAACAATCTTCAGCTGTGGCCATGTGAATTCTCATTGTATCAGCTCCTACATTTACTAACAGTGTAGACAATATTTTCAAATATTGTCTAATGACAATATATACAAAGGCTAGATCGGGGCTATTACAAAGTAAAAAGTATAAAGAACTTGTGTAATATCTGTAGCTAGTTCAATATATTTAAAGCTCATTCCAATACTCTTCATGTAAAAACAGGGAAAACATACGGTGCTTTTAGAAAACCAGTAAGTACGTAACATGAAATGTTATGCTACTTTTGAAAGAGGAAAAAAAACAGCATAGGAGCTAAAGATAGTTTTAGACTTGGCTTAGAAATAATGTAATTTATTTGCTAGAAAAAATACATTTATAGTTAAAGATCTTAGCAATGCTACTTATAGCTATTTAGCTTTTGGAAAATTCAATTTGTGTAAGAATTTCCAGGACAGACTACCTGCATTAGAAGGAAGTATGTGTAGAAAGCAACTAAGACCATGTAATACGATTTCAGAAAATATGGGAAAAGTGAGAAACACAGAGACAGCAAGACCAAGTGCCAAGAAACACCAACACTGATAGAACAAGTAGAAAAGAGTTTCATGCCACACAAAGAACAGAGAATCAACAGTGTAAAATGATAATGAAAATCAAGCAAGTAAGGTCCAAAGTGTTGCCACTGGCTTCCTTATCATGTAGTCATAGAAAAGGTGACCATATAATTTATCATATAAACAGGGACACTTTTGAGAGTAAAAAGGACTGTATGAAAAATGATGTCAAAATAACAGGCAGGGCTTCCCTGGTGGCACAGCGGTTGAGAGTCCGCCTGCCAATGCAGGGGACGCAGGTTCGTGCCCCGGTCTGGGAAGATCCCACATGGCGCAGAGCGGCTGGGCCCGTGAGCCATGGCCGCTGAGCCTGCGTGTCCAGAGCCTGTGCTCCACAACGGGAGCGGCCACAACAGTGAGAGGCCCGCATACCGCAAAAAAAATAAAAATAAAAAAAATAACAGGCATAACTTGGAGCTGTTCTGGGGAAAGTAGGACATGTGGCTACTGGAGTCATGGACAATTTTGGAGACAGCAATAGAATGACGGAAGCAGACACTAGATTGAGGTGGGTTAATGAGTGACCGGAAGATAAGGAAATGAACATAAAAACTCTCTCAGGAAAGATGCCTATAGAAAAAAGTGGGAGGCAGACTCATATACATCTTCCTCCCAAACATTCTCCTCTGAAATGCAAACCATATAAAAGAAGCATAGCTAAACCACTTAGTCAAGAAAATAGACTCAAGATTCTTTCCAAAAGAGTAAATACTTCTAATTTTTTAAAGTTTTCCAGTTTATATTAAAAATACTATACTTGTGAAAAGTCCTTTTCTAATTATATAATTCTACACATAAGAATATCACTGATATAGCTGAATGATGATAGATACTATTTCAAAAAAGAGAAAGTAATATACGTAGCTAAATCTCTAAGAAAGAAAAGGTCATCCTACACAAAGACAGAAACAGCAAAATACAAAGCAGCTCTTAATTTTTCTTTTAAAAAGGTAAAGAGGTATACTGTTCAATGTAAATAATGTATTATTCTCCCACTATACCTACAATGGGAAGGCAGAGTTACGCAGTGGGTCAGAGTATGGGTTGGACACCTAGCTTTACCACTTACAGCTATAAAATCACAGATCACTGACTTTTCAACTTCCTAAACCACAAATGTCTCATCTATAAAATGGAAAAAACAACATCTACTCCCCAGAATTACTGGTAAATTAGATAATACATATAAAGTACTGAAAAAAAAAAAAAGCATGGTATACAGTAAGTGCTCTAAAGATGGTAGCCATCATCATTATTAGCAAGCTATTATTATATATAAGGCATCATGCCCTGCACTGAGTCCTATATAAATTTTCAGGCTATGGTATTGCATCTGAGAATAGGCAGACTATCAGTATAAAGAGAAAACAGGAGCTGATATGCAAAAGGAGACAACAGTAGAAGGCAAGTCTCAAGTATAAGATCTCCCATCCACAGAGAATGGAAAGGTCCTAAGATTTAATTTGAGGCATTATTTTTTGTTATTTTTTAAGTTTAGCTCCAAGTGCCAACAAGTGAAGACACAGTCCTATTAATGTTGGCCTGGCTGTATTGTGGCTAAGAACAAAGATTCTGACATCAGGAGATATAAAGTCCTTCTTGGCTCTGTCATCTACTAACTATATAATCTACAGCAAATGACTTAATTTCTCTAAACTTCAATTTACTCATCTTGAAAGTGGAAATAATAATAATGCCAATCTAGAGAGTTGTTCAGAAGCTTAATTGAGACAACATATAAACAGTATTAACACAGCGCCTAGTACAGAGCAAATACTCAAATAATATAAATTATTACAAGGAGGTGAAGTCAAGATGAAAGACCACAAAGAAATAAAAATGGGAGGAATTCCTAGAAATGTTATGGCAATTTGAGGAGGCATAAAGGAAGAAAATTAAAGATCACACTAAAGGAACATATAAAAGGCAAGATTTATTCCAACTTTTAAATTATAAAAGTATATGCATATAAAATGTCTAAAGCTGACAGTAACAAAGTCATGATTAAAAAAACAGAAACATATCTAATTAATAAGAAAATGGTTAAATAATGGTAAAGTCATATGATATTACTACCTGCAATCATGAAAGAACATGTTCTTGATGTGTACACTTGACAGCATATTTTAAAGTACATATTCGCATCTATAAATATACTCACATCACACAAAAAGAGAGAAAAGAAATATCCCAAAATATTTGTTAATATTATTTGTGAATAACAAAACTATAAGTGATTTTAAAGTTTTTCTTTAAATTTTGCTGAAATTTTAAAAAATGTTTCTTTAACAAACATGTATTATTTTATAATTTTAAAAGCTATTTTTAAGCATAAAGGAAGTTTTTAAGATTAGCTATACAAAGTGTACTTATAAAACTAGTGAAAATAATTCTGAGTTTACCTTGTAGCTCACTTTTAATAAGGCAACTTTCCATCATGTATAACAGCACAGTGACCATAATATCCAGCAGCTGACATTCTTCTGTTACCTGTCTGGCTAGCTCCTCATTGCTGAACAACTGAACACTAATATGCACAATTCTGTTAGACATTGTGTCTGATTCATGACTTTTCTTCAGTGTTTTCATAATGAAAGCATAATGCTGAACAAAAGTTTTTGTAAAAGCAACCTGTAAGATGTTTTAAATAGGAAGAAAAAAAATACAGTTTAAGTTTTACAACACATTTTCCAACATATTATACTAGCATTTTTAAGTTATGATTAGCTTGTGATGATAGCCAAGATAAATGGAAAAATAATTTCAGTGATGATGGTAGTCTTACATTTGTCCTTTTTTGGAAAATTAGCAAAATACTTTGGTGGTTAAAAAAATGTTCAATATGTATTTTAAATTATTAAAGTTTTAAAGCAATTACAAAGATAGTCTAAAAATACAAATCTTCACTTTGCTCACAAATATATCAATTCACTAATGTCAAAGTATGTGTCTTTGTCCTGTGCTACCAACTTTAACAACAAAATCTAAAGCCTCACCTGAAAACCATCACAGAGTTGTTTATATAACTAAACAATAATTGAGTCAACGTGACTACTCCAAAAGAAATAATATCTTTTCCTATTTGATCTGAAAGCCAACCACTATTCTGACTAAATATTCTCTTCTGTATACCAAATACACTTCCTCTATTGTTTTCTTAAGCAGGTATAAAGACACAAAACAACAGCATTATTAAAGTGTCACTCCTAAAGCGGCTTTACTACCTAAACCATAAGAACTATAGCATGATTTATTGTCTTTTCAGACACTAGGTTGTGTAACTTTGCCATAACCATATGGTAGTAACAGGTGAGTCCACACCCTCTGAAACTAGAGACTTCACCTATGTACATGTGTACATGAGTCAATACCATTGTGTCTTTAACAGTTATGGCCAGCAGCTACAAACTCCATGCTTTTCCCATGCCTAACCACACAATCTAAATTCAGTTGCCCCCATTAAACATTCTCATAGCACCTTGTACCTTTCTCCTTTAGAGAACTTACTACAATTTGTAACTACATATTTATTTGTGCAACTGTGTTTTTGTTTGTCCCCCAGCAATCCCTTTGGACCAAGTTTCATGCACAAAGGCAACCCTTACGAATCCTGCTCTGTAATGGTGCTTTGACTCAGATCTACAATACTGCGCTTTTTGTGCAGGCCCTCTTTTGGCAACAGAGCTGAGAAATATATCAAAAAAGATTTAGTATTGAAAAGGCAAAGAAAGAGGAGCAAAGTTCAGAAAGGAAGGAAAAAATGTAGATACCTTATACTCTTGATCTGGAAGCATGTTGAGTAAGAAAGTCACCATCTTCTGGGGAAATTCATACTTTATGGTCCAAAACAACAGTTCTTCTAAGAAACTTTTATGCTTCAAAACATCCATTATGGATTGATCTACATAAGAAAAATAAAATTTATCACCCTAATGATTTAAGTTGCTCATCTCACTAAACCTTACCATGATTAATAACCCATCAACCTCAAACATCTGAACGTACCTAAAAATCAAGGCTATCCTTTCAATAATTCAAATGATAATGCTAACAATATCAAGCTAAATTTCTATAATGTCCACATTATATAAATAATAAAATACTTAATCCTTATAATTTAATATAAAGCAGTTACTAGAAAAATAAGTAATTACTTGACCTTAAACTTAAGCCATTTATCTAAAGTTTCTACTAAGATTTAAAACAATTATCTTATAAGAACAATATTCATGGCACTTAATTTAAAATAGTAATAATAATTTTAACCTAAAAACATACTATTAAGGACATAAACTCCAAAGTTATCTAAAATTTTTATTTTTGAAAAAAATCTTTATGAATAATTTATTTCTCTAAAATTATCCTTCATAAATGAAATATTAACTTCACTACAGAAGATAATCACTAGTGCATTGCTTACTCTAGTATACAGAAGCATTTACTTTCTTCTGGTAGGAACATACCAGGAAACACAGAGAACATTAGATATGCTTACTTGCACTGGACTCAAGATGCCCTTCTTCATGCATAGAGGAAACAGGAAATGCATGCCTCTTTTGAATAAAGGTATTCAAAGGGGGCAATAAAATTATTTACTGGAAAGTTTATTTTCTAAAGCCAAGTACCACTCCTTGAGGGTTAGGCTGTCTCTTGCTTATCTCTGCCTCCTTGCCATGCTTAATCAACAGAAAGGTCTCAACTGGTATATGATGAATTGAAATGTTTTAAATTTTTATTTTACATTGGAGTATAGTTGATTAACAATGTTGTGTTAGTTTCAAGGCGTACAGCAAAGTGTGAACTGAATATTTTTAATACTTTGGCTATCTCTTTCTCTCACTTCCTCTAATTTTTTCCCCCTCAAAATGAACTAGAAAATTCTATTAATCTTTATTGGAGCAAATTATCTTGGGATACTGCTCTGGATCATCAGCTCTATATAAGGGCATCAAGAAGATAAGGGCATCAAGTGTCAACTATGAATGGACTGCTTCAGTGACAGTGCTTAAGCAGAGACTAGAGTTAGATGAGATATTTGAAAAACCAGTATCACATGAACCAAAATACTCAGGTACAGCCCTAACTATATCACAGCTGAAGTAGTCTTGCAGGGTAACCCTGCAGAGTTTTTTCAATTAACCTTACCCCAATCCTACCCCGGTGTCACAGTTCTTCTATTATTGAGTAATGTGTTCATACCACATCTCCTCAGGTAACGGGTCTAAATGAGTAACAACTTAGTATTTAATCACTTTCTTGATTCTTTTGTAAAACACTGAGTTTAATAAGACTTGAATCAGATATTAAAGTTAGATGTAACTTTAACCCCATGTTAGATTAATAATTAATAACCCATTATTTTCAGAATAATAATTTCATTAATCTAGAGACACTATGATTTAGATTACAGAGAGACCAAAGTATCTGCTAATCCCCTACCTAACTCCCTTTCAGTGGTGCCTTTAGTATAAGCCGTATGTAGTAGGAGTAAAAGTATAAATACAATTACACTACACATCCCTTTATTGGAAACAATAATTCTTTATTTTCCAAATCTCAGAATTTTCTACTTGTAAAACAGAAATCTCTTCCTCTTGAAATAGATCATTCCCAGGATATGGCAATGATTTAAAAAGAGATATAAACCAGTCCTGCAAGAAATGAGGTAAAATATATTCAAAGGCACAAGCTGGCAGATTCAAAGCCAAAAAAGTAATAAAATTAGGGACCAAATGAATCAGGTGACAGGAATATAAGGATTACAATTAAAACTTAGAATATAATCCACAGCACACATTGCTGAAGCCAATTTAATTCTCAAAATTCACTTGGTACTAACATGACTGAAAATTTCACAGACTACCAAAAAAATAAAACCCTCACAGAGAAGTGCTTCTGAAAATAATTACAAAGTTGAACAAAACAAGCAGTATTTATCCTAAAATTCAGTTATAACTCTCTGCAAGCTTGTATTAGCCAAAGAAAAGCCTGAAGCTACCATAATTATTATATGTCAAACATTAAAAAAAAATACATTAACTTTGTTTTAAATAAATAAAACAATCTGAACGCACCAGAAAAGCTATGGCTTCTACTAAAATGCTGCAGTTATGTACAATCCAATTTTGCTAACTTCAGGCATTTAAAAAAAGGGAGAAAAACCCACAATGTCTTCACTGTTATTCTTAAAATAAATGATATCAGTTTCCCAAGATATTTAAAGCATGTGTTACATGTATTACGTGTTATGTTATGGAAATGTGGTTAGAAATGCTTCCATTAGTTATGTATGATTATTTACCCTTAAAATCTTGATTGAATTGTCATGACCTTTACAACGCCTAAACAACTCAAGCCAAATTGTAAAAAGAGATTTTTGAAGAATCAGTATGTGGTACAAATGCATGACAGCATTTAATTTAGACAGTAGAGTCCAGCCTCTGCAACTCACGAGCTCAATAATCTTGGCCATGTTAGCTGAAGCCCTCTAGGCCTAGGCTTTTCAGCCGAAAAATTGCAGTTTTGAGAATAGGCAGTGATGTGTTTGTTAGCACAGTGCCTCTCCTCTTGCCTGTCATTACATGTTTTATTTTCAGCTCACTTTCAAACTGTTGAATCAAATTCTTACAAAAACTAAACCACTCCCTGAACTTCAGACATTTTCAAAAGCAACAATTACTTTTTGAAAACAGAGGTTCTACTAATTCAAAAAGCCTCACTTTCAACTTTTTCAAAAAGCCACTTCTTCCACGTACATACTTAAACCAAACATGATAAATGATCAAGTCTTAAATCTCTATACCACTTCTTACCAGTAGAGGAAGGAAGAGAAAACAATCTCAAATGCAAAAAAAATCATATAGTAGAAAATCAACTTCAACATAAAGTCTGCATAAAAAGTAACTTCAGCCAGAGTTTGACGAGGCTGAAGGAAAACAATGACCTCTTACGCCATAACAGGTATTTTCTGAACATCCCTGAAGCTTAAACTCAAGTATATGCCTAACAATCTCCTCCAACTCAGATGTGCCTCAAGGACTCAGGTAAACACATGGACAACTCTGGTAAGTCAAGGGGCCAGTTAGCCATATGGACTTCTAATTTCTTTCAGGCATTACAGGTTCTCTGCTGGGCCACGAAGAAAGGGAAGATGTGCATGTTGGCCAACAAATCAAATTTCATGCCCTTTGCTAACAGTCTGTAAGTTAAAGGCAACAACATGAGTAACTAAGTAAAGACTTGCAGACTTACAAAATGAGCCTCAACGGAAACTGCCTGCTTGCTCCACCTTCCAAGCAGTCCTAAACTTTCCACAAGACACACTTAGCACCAGAAGTAAGAATCTTTTCATCAAAATAATATTTTAACTTCTGGAGACTTTCTAACAGACCATACTAAGCCAGAAAATAGACTATGTTAAGATTTGGAAATCCATGGCAAAAATCCAGAGCACAGGCTGCCAACTAATAACAAGTACTCTAGAAAAGCTTTTAGGGAGGATCAAGAAAATATAGTGATAAAGCATTTAAACTCTGGGATCTGAATTAAGGACCTACTTCTCATTAGCTGTTAAACCTAACATGCCTCCATTTCCTAATTCATAAAATAGTAATAATAATAAAACCTGCTTCCTATGGTTACTTGGAGAATTAAGTGACACAATGCATGTGACGTGATTAGCACTATGTCTAGCATATATAAAAAGTTCAATAAATATTACTCATTACTAATCTATTCCCTCACTACAGGCATATCTACTTCTTCCTTTGCAACAATATGCATTGAGTCCTTTCTGAGCCCTTAATATGTGGTAAGTGCAATTCATTCTCATTCTCACTCGCTTTCACTCTTGTTACTTCTTCTCACACACACACCCAAAATCTCCCTCTTGCTCATCCTTTAAATCAAATTAAAGCTTTACACCAAATATGCTGGATCCAAATCAAAGATTCAATGAAGAGACTATTTTTCTGGCTCAAATATGATGTTGCTCATTTTATAAAGAAAACAAATGAACAAAATCCCAACAGTAAGGGTTTTACTTGCTTTCGAGGTCCCCCACAATCACGCTCTAACAACACTTTCTCCATATTAGACAAATCTAATAACATTACTCTCCCTTCAAGTGCTCTTAATGATTAAGCATTTTTTTATACAAGGAAAAAACAAAATATAAATACCTTTGGTGTTACTGCTTAGTTTGACCCTCTTTCTTTTGCCCAGACCTTGACTCCCATCCTGATCCTCCTGGAAAAAAACAAAATTAGCATTATCTATAGTCCTATTCATGAATTTATACATTTTATGTAAATATAAATATGCTTATAAATTATGTTAAATATAAAATATAGGCATGCTTACATATTATTAACCAACGATTTTATGTATTTGCTGTCATAAAATATATTTTAATGCTGCTAACTTTAAATTGAAAATTAAATTTAAAATTAGCATTATAATTAAAATATATCATGAAAATCCTTAGGATTAAAATATAAGAGTTCTTAAACTTAATCTGTGCTCCTAATGAAAGACTCTTAAATACCCCAAAATGCCAAAATAAAAATTTTCCTAACTTTATAAATATAATATCAAAGAAGCTAAAGGCAAGAAGGGAGCAGATTAGCATAGGAAGGAAGGGGAGAAGGAGAAAAGGGTTAAAACAATGAATAGAGGAAAGGCTTTGAAGAGTCTAACACAAACAAAATGAGTTCAAGAGATCAAGTTCTGAAAATAAGCATAGCATATTGGAAGCTGGAGTTGACAGTCAAAAAAGTAATATAAAAACAAATTAAAATGTGCTTAGGAAAAAAATCCAAGAAGAAAATACATGCATTTCTGCTCACATGAAATATATCCATTCCTGAAAAAAACGTCATATTAGAAACAACAAGGCAGCCTTCCCTGGTGGTGCAGTGGTTAAGAATCTGCCTGCCAATGCAGGGGACATGGGTTTGAGCCGTGTCCAGGAAGATCCCACATGCTGTGGAGCAACTAAGCTCATGAGCCACAACTACTGAGCCCACGTGCCACACCACTGAAGCCCGCGTGCCTAGAGCCCGTGCTCTGCAACAAGAGAAGCCACCGCAATGAGAAGCCTGTGCACCACAATGAAGAGTAGCCCCCACTCGCTGCAACTAGAGAAAGCCTGCACACAACAACGAAGACCCAAAGCAACCAAAAATTAATTAATTAATTAATTAATTTAAAAGAGAGAACATGTAAATATAGAAAACACTTTAAAGATGTTTAAAAAAAAAAAAAGCTGGGTCTTCCTTGGTGGCACAGTGGTTAAGAATCCGCCTGCCAATGCAGGGGACACAGGTTCAAGCCCTGGTCTGGGAAGATCCCACATGCCATGGAGCAACTAAGCCCATGTGCCACAACTACTGAGCCTGCCCTCTAGAGCCCACGAGCCACAACTACTGAGCCTGTGTGCCACAACTACTGAAGCCCATGCGCCTACAGCCCATGCTCTGCAACAAGAGAAGCCACCGCAATGAGAAGCCTGCACACCGCAATGAAGAGTAGCCCCAGCTCGCCTCAACTAGAGAAAGCCCGCACATAGCAACAAAGACCCAACAACAGCCAAAAATAAATAAATAAAATTTTAAAAATTTTTAATAAAAAAAAAAAGGCTTATAGGAAATAAAAGGGTGAGGGGCAGACCACTCACAACCTATTTTGTAACCTAGAAAGTTTGTAACCAAAGAAGTAACAGAAGCAATAATCAGTACCTGGGGAGATCATTTGGATGCCCAGGCAAACATCTTGGAATGATTTGAGGCTGTCTCAGGGGATGTTAACAACCTACCACAACAAAAAAGTGGGAAGCTAACTGGCTGAGACAACACAGAGGGAAGAGGAGCAGAGGAAGCAGCCTGCTACTAGAGAAACCAGTGAGGCTAGCGATGTGCCTCTTAGGGAGGGAGCCATGGGTGCAGATGCTCATTTCTGATTTCCTTTGAATGTTGCTAAAAAGGTTCCTGCTGCCTTCATAGTTCATGGTTTTTACCCTCCAGCTAAAGGATACGATTCTACCCCACTATCCCAGCTCTCCTGAGCTAGGAAAGATTGTACAGGAATCCAAAACTTCCATGTTATACTGACACCTTTTTCCTATATTTCCAAACATATATGAGCCAACTGGTATTATAAAGACATGTGGTAGCATTTTGGCACACAGTCTGTTGTGCTAACCAATTATGTTGGTGGCAGGTTTAGAAGCATGGTACAAATTCCCAGACACTTGCTCAATTAAATCAATCTCCAAAGCAGAAAAGCCTCGGCTTTAAGCTGCTGCTCTGCCCACTGGTGTAGTCTCCTTGGCCTGCGCACCACAGACTTAACTCCAGGTTTCTGCCAAGTCCAGCATCAGGACCAGTCTGGGGTTACCCAAAGACACTACTTAGCTCAGTCATTCAGCATTTACTAAGCACTTCAATATGCTCTCCCTGTTAATTCCTACCAAAGCCAGGCCTCTATGGTCTACCTGGCAGTAATACTGACAGTCAAACTACACTCTCCTCTTCCTCTGCCACCCTCACCTTGCTCTTAGAGAAACTCAACCAGTATGAAATTTGGAGCCATAAAAGACAGACATAAGAATGTAAAAGTGTGCCACAGGACCCTGAAAGTTCTAAAATTTGAGATTTTAGCTAACAGCCATTTATGAAACTGCTCTCCCAGCCCTGAGAGAAAAGAAAAAAAATAAAAATAAAAACTTTTAATGTTATATTCCAGGTTAGGATTACTTCATAATTTCAAATACAAACTTCCTATGAAAAGAGTATCCTTGATCAAACAATAGTCATGGCAATACAAAGTTTTATAAATTTCCCAACCTTACACTTTAAAGGACAAGTAAAATTAGCCAAGCAAAGGAAAGGAAAGTCATTCCAAGAAGACACCATGAATAAAGGCACAATGACAAAAGTCTAGAAACAAAGATCAGCTTGACATCATCATAGATATCAAACTCAGCTAGGAAGGGAGTTTATCTCCATCTAAACTGGTGGGAAAATGTGTACTCTTGTACATCGCTTGAGAGAGTATATAATAAAACTATTGTCCTGAATGGCAATTTGTCAATACACATGTCAAAAGTCGTTAAAGTATATCTATCACTGGAACAGAAATTCCAGTTCTAGAAATTTATCCTGAAGAATTAATCAGACAAGTGAATAGGGACTATATGCATAGATACTCATCACAATGTTATTTATAATAGAAAAAAAAATCTTTGGTTTCCAACAGCAGAGCTAGGGATCAGGTAAATAAATTATAGCACACATATATCCTATGAAGAAAAACAATACTAGAGCTCTATATTCACTGTGACCAGATAGATGTTCAAAAACTATTACTATAGGGCTTCCCTGGTGGCGCAGTGCTTGCGAGTCCGCCTGCCGATGCAGGAGACGCGGGTTCGTGCCCCGTTTCGGGAGGATCCCACATGCCGCGGAGCGGCCGGGCCCGTGAGCCATGGCCACTGAGCCTGCGCATCCGGAGCCTGTGCTCCGCAAATGGGAGAGGCCACAACAGTGAGAGGCCCGCATAACGCAAGAAAAAAAAAAAAAAAACTATTACTATAAATGAGAAAAAAAAACGGCATGCTATGAAGAATAGCATATGGAGTATGAAACCATTTAAGTACTGATAATACACACAAATAAAATCTCTTAAAATATACCCCTTGCTACAGATGTTCAAAACTACCATTAGTAAGAACAGCAGGTTACCGAACAGCATATATAATAGCATGGAGCCATTAAAATATACTATATATAAAATCTGTTAGAATATATTTGTTTGCAGTAAGTCACCTCTAAGTGATAGAGTAATAGGTAATTTCATCATCTTTTTGCTAATATTAATTTTCTATTTATTCAACGATGACAATGAATTATAGCTTTAAGATAATAAATATGTTTTTAATACTAATTCTGATTGCCAATCCTAACTACAACAATCTGCTCAAGATAATGGATTACTGTGTTATCTATTACAAGTCCCATTTTTTTTATTTTGAGAAAGAACAAAACTTTTAACAAACAGGAATAACTTCCAGTGGTGGGATATTCAGGCATTAAGGAAGAAGAAAACAATTCCGTTATCATGACAAGACCCCACCCACCCTCCCTTCATGACAGGGAGTTATAGTTCTTTCCCATTTATCCATGAGAAAACAGTACAGTACTGGGAGAAAATGATGGTCCAGCAGACGAAAGAGGAAATAAATAAACCTCAACCCGGACAGCATTTGTACAGCCCTCAGAAACACTTTCCAAACCTTAACTAGTTCCTGGGCACAGAAGTAGACAATATTGCTATGTGTGTTTCAGGCATAAAATACATATACAAGTCCAAAATGAGAGAAGAAGACCCCCCCCCAAAAAAATCAGATTCAAACTCTTACCCTGCAAAATTTACAGATGGTTTTTCAACCCAAATTAAACTTTCTTTCTTTGATGAATTTACTGAACAGATGAAAAAAAATGTGAGCTCCATAAAAAGAAGTCAAATAAATTCACAGCTGGTTAAAACAATACTCAGAGAATGTTAATACAGAATACACAAAGCTAAAAGGAACATTTAACATATAAGGTTATAAAAATAAAATCCAAAGGAGATCTTGAGAGACTAGAATGAAATGAAAACAACATTTATGTAAGCCACTGTAATATGAGACTGTTTGCTTTAAATCAATTCTACAAATACAAAGCTGAGAGGGAGCTCTCAAACTTGTCTGAGAGCTGAAGGGGTGGGTGGGGTGGGGGATCTGGGCATTTCATTTGACCACTGGGGCTCCCGAGACAGTCTAGCATAGCTGCTAAAAGGCTAACAAAAAACCTTGGGCCTTAAGGAAGCCACAACATGCTTCATGACAAGATGTCCTTATGACTCTATACCAAATCAGATCATAGTTTTTAAAAGGGAATAAACATATGAAAGAGCTATGAACAGCAGAGAATACTAAATAACTAAAGCTAAAAATTTAAAGGGGTGTCTTATGGGAGTAAAAATTAAAATATTTCTACAGGGGAAAACAAGAAGAAATGTGTGAACACTGTAATATTTAACACAGTATTGAGAAGAGATTCCTAATAATTAGAGCTATCAAACAAAGGAACAACTTGCTTCATAAACTCGGTAAAGCTCCCAACCACTGGAAGTGTTTATGGAGAGGGTTACCAATTGTCAGGAATATTGTAAAATCAATTCCTAAACTGGAAAAGAAATATATT